ATTCCCAAAACAACATTTTTGACACCAATCTGGGCGTTATATATGACACTGCAATGATGTCCGACACCCGTGAGACACCCCATGGGAATATTTTCCCTCATTTTTTCACGCTGTTTTTGGTGTCAGATCCTTTTGCAAGTGTCAATGTGACACCTCTAGCAGTGTCGGACACTTTTAACATTCCGCTTCAATAAATGGCAACACCTGTGAAGGCATCATAAGGGTGTCAGATGCTTTTAAAAGAACATTTTTGACACCTTTTAGGGTGTTTGATACCTTAGAGTGTTTGATACCCGGATGGGTGTGCGTGTCGGACACCTATTAAGGTGTCATGCTGAATCCCATTAAGGTATATCTAAACGCTCGCATGCGAACGAACACTTGAAAGGGTGTCATCGTGGTGTTGTACACCTTAATGATTCCCTAAACAGCATTTTTCAACACCAATCTGGGTGTTCGATGACACCTCCAATGGTGTCTGACACCCGTAAAACACCCCTGGGGAATATTTTTTTTTCTCAGTGTGTGTATCACTGGAGAAACAGGATCAGTAGTCGTATGTTTAGGAGAAATTATACGAAACCATTTGATCAATGATTGATTGTACCATAGATTGTACGTATCGGAACCGCCGTTCAAGAGCGAGCCAGCGAGTTTATTTGTGGTTTAACGGAAAAGTCTATGAGCGGTCCGCCCCTTGACGCTTTTGAGAGGCGATATCTCGACAACCCCTCGAACGATCGACAGGCGATCTTCTGCATTAAGGCCGTCCCACACTGGACCTCGCATGTGGGTTGCGAGGTTGCGGGTTTTGAGTTTGCGGGCATAATACTAATCATAGAGTGATTAGACCGTTCCCTTAGGTAACTTCATGAATGCAGTGAAACCGGTACACCTTCATTATAGTCACAATACCAGCGCGACGAACCAAAATTCGACTCCAACGAAAAACCCGCAAACCTTGCAGAACTCGCAGACATCGCAGCGAGGAACATCGAAAGTTGACTCAAAATAAACTCTTGGAATGCCACGGTCGGAGCGCTACTGCACGTGCACACGTGGAAGGTTCTCTTCCACGTATCGAGAACGGCTGGGCTGATAGTGCTAAAAGCTAGCACACGCGTACACCGTTAGGGGCCGGCTTAGAGGGTGCCCGGCCCGCAAAACTCAAAAGTCTGTTTGGGGTCCAGATTGCACGTGTACACGTGCAGAGGCCACATCTCGAGAAAGGCTGGGATGATTTAAAGCTCAAATTTGATAAACAGCTTCCAAACAACAAACAGCACAACAAAGTTTTTTTCTTATAAGGCAGGCATTTTGTCAATTTTAAAGTACTAAGTGTACCCTTAGTTTTAATCCTCGTCTGTATTTGTGTTTTGCTGGCCGCTAACTTATGCACATACGACCGCTAATGGGCCCCTGATCGAACTAGAGCTTCGCGGGAAAATCGAGTCCGTTACCCGTGACGAGAGTAAGCCGACCTTGTTTTACGATCCTAGGTCATTGGTTAACCCGGCAGGCGGTGGGTCTCCCGGCCACCTTACGCGCGGTGGGGGGGGGGGCATTTCCCCCCCCCCCGTATCTCCGAAACTACTGGATGGATCCGGAAAATTCAAACGGCGTTCGATAGCCCTGTCAAATTTGTCGAAGGAAACTAAATTTCATTGACCTCGGGGTCACCGATGACGTCACAGGTCAGATCAAAGATAAAATGTTTCACCGTTCACGGGGCTTCTAGGGAAAGCGCTATAACACCGAGTAAAACGCATTTTGTCGAAAATCAGCGATAGGGCGTCAGTTGTCTAGTACATATGTTGCTATTAGAGGTCACTGGTCATACCAGGTCAGGTCACAGGTCAGGTCACCAGAGGTCACCAAGGGTCACCACATGAACCCAACTTTACTAAGGTTGTTCGATGCATGTTTTATGGCCAGTTTTTCATTTCCAACTCAATGGTGTTGGTTATAAGACCATCAGGTACGGTTAAGGTCACTTTCTGGTGGAGGTCAGCTCAAGGTCAGGTCAAAAAGGTCAAATTTCAAAGTTGATATTGTTGCATAAAATGGCTATTGATTCGATGCAGCTCGTCACGAGGAGTCTAATGGTGGTCTTTGTTTTGCGCTACGAGGTCGGTCTAGAATTGCTAAAAATTGAGTTTGAAAATTTGACGTCATCAATTTTGAACAGTTTTTCGCTATAACTTGGCCAAAAAAGAGGTATCGATCTCAAATTTGGTATGCAAATAGAAGGCAGTAGGGACTATTACATATCTTCTGGGTTTTTTGAAATTCAAAAAACTTTGGGATTTTTCGGCTATTATATTCAAAAAATCTATTTTTTGATTTTTTGGGGTCAAAATCCAAAAATTTCAAAAATCTGAGATATCAGTTTTGTAGCCCTTTACATTTTACACCTTTTATGTCTGAAACATTTTTCTGTATCTCTAAAGCTGTAGGCCTGACAGCTCTTCTCGCGAAACCTTTTTTGGGTCGAAAATGGCAGAAATGACGTCACTCTGACGTCATTAGCGTCCAACCTATCATAGATTTTGGAATTTTTTTTTGGTCACAATGTGCAATAGCTGTTCACGGGAGGGTACCGAAAGTTTGGTGACGATCGGCGCAGCGGTTATCGAGATATATCGAAAAAACTAAAGGGGGGGGGGACAAAAAAATGCCCCCCACCGCCTGGAAGGTTAACCTTCCCGGCCTGGTCATTGACCCAAAAGTCGGAGAAATCGGGACGTGCTTTAACTTCTTAAAGAGATATATAAAAACGACAATATATTCAAATACACAATAAAAACACACAAAAGCACACACAGTGATCAAGGTATTTGTTACCGAAAGCTCTGTTTTTATTGTGTATTTGAATATATTGTCGTTTTTGATAATATATCTGTCATGGATAACACACAATTCTTAAAGAGAGGTTGTTGTGGGTTTTATCGGAGTCCTGATTTCGAATTTGGTATTTATTTCAATCAGCGATGAGACATTCAGGCAGTTGGGATAGGTCGACTCAGGCCAGGTCAGGTCAACCAGAATGCGTCCCGTCGCCCGCCGACTATCCACAACAGTAGTAGGTTTAAAAAGCCACTAACAACTTCGTAACATGCTGCGTAGGTAGGTACCCAAACTACTTCACAGATGTTGCAGTTAGTGCCGAATTTGCAATCAGCCCCAGAAACTAGTATTGAAGTTCGTATAACTCGAATAATTACGAGAGGTCACCATAGGTCAATGATCTTTGACCGACCTTGAATTGACCTTGATACCCACCATGATGCATGGGAAACATAAAAACACATGTTGGCACGTTTTTAATCACAAGTCTGGAAACGCACCCATATACGACGAATCGCGATTCCTGCCTGACACGGTCTCGGGGAACAGGTCACAGGTCAAAGGTCATTTAGGTCAGTGCCATGAAATTTTCACGATATAAATATGTAAAATTGGTTAACTCGAGGGTACTGAAACTTTCATCCTTTAATCGGCCTCGTTTTTTTTTCTTTCTTGGGAATAGAATTATTCACGAAAACCGTGGAGGAAGGTCCATCTGATTCCATATACCTAAGTGCGTGAGTTGAAGCAATTTAGTGCGATCTTATTCCGAATTACAGCTACCTACCTGCATTAACCCTCGCCCGCACATGAGGGGTGGTTGTGGTTGGGGTGGTTGCCACCCCCAGGTAGTCTTTCTGCTCTGCACTCAACAGTTTTAGAGCTAGAGGGCTGATTTTTCGTGTAGCTGCTCCTCTATCATTTCTTGATGTCCACTGAAAATTTCAAGTTTCTGTGGCTTTTGGTTTCGGAGATATGACCTTGTTTTTCAGGTCATGTCATGACCCAAATGGCCAATTCTCAACATCTTGCGTTGGCTATGGGCCTTGTGAGCTTTTGAGTTTTGACACCTTGATTTCGGCCTTTTTTCATTTTTTGCCAGTCTAACCTGCCACCTATCATGGAACATGTTGTTTGACGATGTACAGATGTCAAGGTCAAGGTCAAGGTCAACCTAGGTCATCTAAGATAATTGCGTTTTAGGCAAGCGAAAATTACTTTTTGTGAAGTTTTTTTGACTGCATTTTTGGTAAAAGCTTCTCAGATCATGATTTCATGTAATATGGACACATAAACAATCGATGCACACATCAGTATACACACAGACACACACAAACATACAAACACATATAATTGACCTTGACCTAACTTGACCTGAAATGACCTCAGCAGCAAAAACATGGTCGGGTAGAGTGACAAAGAGGTTCTAGCTGGCTTGGCACCAGAAAACGGCATCGTCATCGGTATATGATAAGCAGCGCACTTGATATCCAACGGTGACCCAAAACAGCAACATTGTTTAGTTTGACCTGACCTGGAAGGTCAATGACTGACCTGAGAAGGTAAAACTGGGTATCATTGGATTCGTCTCTTCCCAAAGAATCTTTTTGGTCTTTACCGCTAAGCTCTATCTCCAACAGGAACGAAATGGCGCGCGGGGGGGGGGTGGCACCCCCTCATGTGCGTTCTAGGATGGGAAAATGGCATGTGCGGGCGAATATGATTAACAGGTGAATCATGGTGCACACTTAAGACTATTTTTTTGTGTGCATAATATGGTATGCGTCAACTGCACTGAAAACCTGAATGAAGAATAGAGCTGTTTTTTTTTATATAAAGCTCCGTCAGCATCCATTTACATGTTTGTGACGGTTGCACATCGGCATAGCCAGGGAAAGTCAAGGAGAACACGTATCCTCCCCATTGGGTTATGGAGGTTCCGACTTCGCAGTTGAATAATCACCTATCGGCGTCTTAGGGACCACTACCCAATCTCCAAAAATTATATACTCCACTCGCCTTTCAAAGCTCTATACCTCCCACACTTTACAGCCTACATCTGCAGACTTCTCAAGTCCAGATGGTAGATAGCTCAAGGTCTTTAGCTCTAAGCCTCTTCGCTGGTGCACCAGCGCGTCGTCCGAGGACTGGGCTGAGACCGGCCGGGCGCCAGGACACCCGTCGAGTGTCGTCGGTCGCACGCTGGGACTCAGTCGGCGCGGCCCTGACCTCGGCGGTGCCGGCGGGCGCCGGCGGCGGCCGGCCGCACGTGAGTCTCGCCGCCCAACACGTGACTGCGGCCCGATCAATGTGACGTCAGCGGCCGCTCACGTGTCGGCCCGCGCGCGGCCGCCGCCGCCGCCGGCAGCCAGTGGCGCTCGGTGGCGGGGTTCCGGTGGATGCCGGAACGGGTCCGGCCGACGGGGTGCGCCCAGAGACGTGCCGAGACAGAGCTGCCGACCGACGGCTCTGTGGACCGACGGAGGTGTGAGCAGTGAACGTGCATCGCGGGCGACGGCGCGGAGCGGCGCCGGAAGACTGCGGCGCGGTGCATGGATGCTGGATGTGGGCGGCGTGCAGAGCCGAGGGGCGGTAGCGGCAGACGAGTGATCCCGAACTGGGGTGGACCCAATGACAGAGTGAAGGACTATGGAACAGTGGAGCCAGGCGTGGCACTGGAGACAGTCTTCCGACGAGTGAGTGTCGCACAATACGCATTACGCACGCAGCTCTAACACCACACGCACGTGCCACGTCACATTGCACACACGTGGATAAGCTTTGAGCATCATTGAACAGTGAGCAGTGAGTACTGGTCGACATTTGCATAATAAAACCAACATTGCTGCTTAAAGTATCCCCCTGAACGGTCACAGGTTAAGAAACAAATGATAGCAAACGTTCCTTGACACGAGTAGAGTGTTTGTCACGGTGTGTTTTACCTCTGTCGATCGAGAAGAATCCACAGTAAATGTCCTCACTTATCTCTTGCAGCGTTGGTGGTCTAGAATATTTGCGATGTTCCGTCTGCAAAAGAAATGCTTAAGTACTAATCATTGCAATGGACCAAGTCATGAAGGATCAGGCATCAGCCATGCTGTTCAATGTGAAGTAAAGCTTTTTGATATGCAGTTATTGCAGACTATAGGAATAAAATCGTGCAAGGGTGAGCAGCCAGTCTACAGTGCGCCGTCTTCTGCACTTCATCCTCAAAACGATCGATAAAAATAGATCCTTGCTCAAGCCTCGACAAAATGTGTCAACGTGCGTAATGTTTTCCAGCAAACAGGCGTCTGGTAGGACTTAGAGCCATGGAATCTTGACTCCGACTCTGGATTCGGACTGGAGTCGACAAGAGTTTGTTGACTCCAAATCTGACTCCTGCTCTGGGCAGAGTTGACGATGCCGAGGTGACTGACTTACTGACTCCGACTCTGACTCCATACTCCATAGCCCTGCGTCCAAACAAGTCCAATGTTTTTTTGTCCGGGTGTGTACCTATCTTTTGATGTTGACCTCTGGTCAAGGTAAAGTTAAAAGCCGATTAGGTCAGGCTGCTGGTCAACATAATCATGCGATTTGACAGCTAATTCTGAGATTGAAACGAAACGTCTCGAGCAGGAAAAATCATTAGGTAGGTGTATTACTCATTAGGTAGGTATATTAACGCCACGCAAGGCCCTATTGCAGTGGTCGGCAGGTCCTCCGGGGTTGTGCCCCCTTTTCGGGCGCCAGGCAGGGCCATTGCCCCCACCTACCAGACCCCATTGCCTACACAGCCAAGTGTACTGAAATGCCATACTTTTCCATGACTCGTTGGGTATTTTGGATATTATTATGTAAAAAACGTTGGATCACGACAAAATTGTACCCTCGAGCCGATCTTTTTTTTTTACCTGCCCTTAAACATTTAATGACCTTAACACAAATAACCGTTGACTTGTTAGTTCTTTCTTGAGATCATGGTTGGCCCTAAAATCTCAATTCCAGAAGTTACAGCGGGTCCCGATTTTCTCGACAATTGTCATTGACCTCTTGAAAGTCGTCCAATGGCCAAGGAATTTAAAATTGGGTAGCAGCGGCTTCCTATCGTCACGGGTATCACGCTCGTTTTTTTTTAACGCAAAGCTCCAGTTCAGAGGCTGAGAGGCTGGGGCCCGATTGGCCCCTCCCCTTTTACGTTAGCTGCTGTGAAAATGCCAATAGACGGGTGAAGGTTAGCATTCAGTCTGGAATTATCTTTATTCTTTGAACCCGGGGACCAAACAGTCGTGATGTCTGTCAGTGTCACATCAAGGGAGCCATTAATTCTAAGATGAGGCTTTCTCAGAGGCCCTCATTACCCCCCGCCGAGGGGCTCCATTACCCCCAAAGGGGACATGCCCCACCATTTGCAGGCCTTTGGCCCTTGCTGGCTTGGAAAAACTACAACTCTGAGATTCCTCTGGAAAAAGTCCCTCGAAGCATCAGAGATGCAGCATTTCCCTGTGGGGAGAGAAATGCCATCTGGTACAGGAATAGGTATCTGACAAGTTACCCTATTAAGTCATTTATCGATGATTTTCAGACGCATATGGCTCCGAACCAGAGCTAATTAGCCGACGGAGAACAAGGGTGCTTTCTCCACCCATTTCCAATGTTAAAAGTGAATAAGCCCCTGTAGCGTCCGCGTGGTAACTTCACCTGTTCTGCGTTCGTCTGCGCTATAGTTGACCACCAAAAAAGGCGTTTTATTGCGCGATATTATACAACATTCCGGGTTTTGTGCCCAGGGTCTACGTCACTGTACAATTACGGAAGTCATTATTGAGCTGGTCATCTCCACCTTGGCAATTACGCTGCTATTCTATACCCCTCAAATTATAATTATTGGTTGGGTTATATGTGACCCAAGAAAGACCATTACATCTCCCCTTCTGTCTGGGGGGCTCCCGGCGTTATATCTAGCTCGTCGCCCGTCCCTCTTGCCGGCGATGTACATCCATTGGTATGTGCGAGTGCGTCACGGGCGCGGCTCAGGCTGTTCATTTCAGTTCTGGAGCACTCCGAAAGCGGAGCTCTGCCGCGGGCTTTGTCTCTGACTGCGGTGTAGCGCGACGCTCCATTGAACAACACTCGTCATTTGACAATAAATCGCTGCTGTTACTGGGCCCTTGCTGCATCAATTTTTCGCGTGAGATGATTGTGCCTGTACTCAGTATGCTATTATAGTATCAGCTTCACCGGCTATCATATAATCACTGCCATCAGCTAAATCAGTTTTCTGTCCAATCTGCTTTTTTAAAGTACATACAAAGTAAAAATTTCACTTCAGAGATCTTCAATATGATTATGAATAGAGATACTAACGTCACGTATTGGATAACTGTGGATTTGATAATTTTTAAAAAGCGGCTTCCGAATGTCAGCTACAAAGGTGAATGCCACAGCGGGACTGTTGAGAAAGATTTTTGAGTTTTGCTGCAGTTGTAAGCTTTGTGAATGATTCCTTGTTTATATTTACATTGTTTTATTAGCTGTAACCATCGCCCGTATTTGTCTTTTTACAATATATCCCAATATACAAGAGGGGACGCCGGACGGATCCATCAGCCGTTCGGTCCTTGATTGAACTAATTGGAGGCTTTGCTGAGAAACGGAGTCTGTCTCTCGTGACTAGTCGGAGCCATCGATGTCCAATTTTATGGTTCTAGCCTTCTAGGTCAGCAGCTGACCCTTGAGCTCAGGTCAAGTATGGTTCTCCTAAACTTAAGGGTCGACCTCGATGTCAGATCGGCTCGATCTGAACTGTGATGCACCCGAGTCTCAAGGAGATCGAGACGCTATACATGTTCTTGTAGTGAGGGCATTCCGAGACGTTTAGGGAATACAATTTCGAATTTAGCCTTCTTTTTTTTTTTGTTCAAATGTGATAATTTGTGTATTATGTGTAGGTGAGATGAGGTCAGGCGAGGTCACGTCAGAACGACCAGCAGGGGCCCCGCTGGTTATTCTTAGTAGGCTAGTAGCTATTTATTTATCACCACTGTTAGCTTCGACACATGCTAGTGAGCTAAAGAGTGGTTGATGGTTCCCAAATGTGTTGTTTATCTCGAAACTAGCAAAGATTAAAAGAAGTTGTTCAATTAATCAATCAAGGTTTTAAAGCGTTAATGATATTGAACACACTAACCGGTAACCTAGAAACCTACCCCTACCACATGGGGTGGGGTTCACCATTAGCCACCATGCTAATAGTCGATCATTTCTATTATTTCACAAGCTGGTACACACCATAGCCTAAATAGTTCATCATTATTTGACATGCTGGCATGCTTCTAGTCACAAGTTTGGAAGCTTACCAACATTGGGGTGCTGAGCGCTAACAAAATTATTGTGATTCGAGTTATAGCTCGAATCACAATTCTTGTCTAACGCTATCTTGAGAAAGAGGTCACTGCTCAAATAATATTTGTTTCAGACGTGAGGGGTCATTATATTATCAGGGTAAACATTGCCAAATTGATGATCATGTGGTTGCTGAAAGTTTTGTCACTATAGTCTCTTATACGCGTGCTTTTTATGAAAAATCAACCCAGGTGACTCCATCTGACTTCCCCTGTAAGTGCGAGGATCAAGGCTGAATGCATAATATTAACGACAATTATCCTCGTGATATCATGGAATTGCAAAAGTTATCTTTATTGGAAATTAATGTGAATGGTGTACCTAGAAGCATGTGTGATATCTAAAATTTTATCCAAATGATAAAATCAAACATTTTCACACATTCTGAAAATAAGTTATGTAAAATATGTTTTGTGGACACTGCATAACCCCATTATATAATCCGTTAGTCATACGAAGTCATGCAGGGAGGGGCATATCATTCCAACGTTTGCAGCGTATCTGGCAGTGCAGACTGCAGAGTCCGGTGTTGATTTCAGGCTCTGAACTGCAAGGATTGCCCTGCCCACGCCTGCGCTGTGCGTTGTTCTGGTGGCTTCTCAGGGACTCGTGCTTTGTCCTGCACGTGATGTGTCCTGCGTCACACGATGGGGTTCATTTCTGGCGGTCAGGAGCTATAGTGGCTCTATTGAAAGTATCGCCTGCAAATGGCCTCCACTCTGGGGCTGTGGTACACACATACGACCAATCTAGGTGTGGCGGACGGTGTCCCGGAACCATTAATGTCGAACTAATGGTCCGAGGCGCGGCGGGCAGCACAAAGCCCGGTGAGATAATGAACTATCCTGTTGCATACGGCGTACACAGCTCGAGGAGTCGCAGGCAGCCATTCATCGTCTAGTGTTGACCATTACGCAATAAAGTAGCCGCCACACGAACAGTAAAGGATCGGTGGCACGGAAAGAAACACGAAAGCGTATATCTTCGCACTTGTGAGGTCTGCTTTGACTAAACTACTTACCAATCGCACAAATAATAAGGCTTGCGAGAACAACAAAGGCGGTGTTTGCTTTATTGCCGGTATGGTCCGAGTGTATGGCGCTCATTGCCGCTGCGCCGTACTTACATGCGTCACCACTGCACTGATTGGTCCTTATGAATTATTACCCTTATGACGGTATAATGGTTTGGAAATTAACCCCTGATTGTCAAGTCAATATTTGTAAGCTGTGTTTATGTTTATGTAAATGCAATAAGGCACGATCCTCGAATTATATAAATGCCGCCGCTGCTTGATTTTTTTCATGTGCTATCATTTCACGGTGCTATGCATTATGGTCCATAATTATTTTTCCATGTGTTTTGCATTATGGTCCATTATTATTTTTCCATGTGTTTTAGGTCCAACTATATGTTCAGCATAAATATTGTACCTATGTGTTAAACTCTTTTCAAAATATCTTCAGCTACGCATTTTCAGTAAGGGTTACCTATCTCAATATCGAAAAAAGACGAAGTTTTTTTTACCGTCACACTGTGCCGCACTGCGGATTGCTTATTTCATCTGAGTCTATGTGTGTTCGTCAGGTACGCGAGCCGGGTTATTGACGAGGAGGGTGCTGTCACCGATTCGTCACCTTGCCTGAAACGCGCCCCGTCTCGAGACGGTCGACAAGAAGCCGAACTCAGCTACACGCAATGCAAGGTCAGTAGCACACCCCAGTTTATGGATATTTTAAGGGTTATCGAATGACTTTCCAATTGTCATACAATTTCAAGAGCAGATTTTGCAAGCTGGGAACACGCACTCGTATCGATATGTTAAACAGTGAGTACGAATACCGGTCTCCGCCCCATCGAACATATTCTTTCTAGAAAGTTGAACATTAATGCATGTAAGGCGGTTAGGGGCTGCAGTCAATCTGTGGTCTCTGAACGCACGGATGGCTCGTCATTTCCGTGCCACATTTGGCGTAATTGCAAATATCACCGGTCTCCCCATGCGCATGCAATTTTGTGGGGGACGAGCAGGCCTCGATCTGCCACATATAGCTGCAGGCGGCATTATGCCGTACCGCTCCAGTGTGATGGCTGAACATTCCCTAGGTGCACATATGTCCGTAAAGTCGATCGCTCCAGTGCAGATCCGGCCGTGTTACGTCATCAAAAGTGCGATAATGCAGGCCGAACTGTCTGAGTTAAATCGAACAGAAGTTGTTAATGCCCAGCAATGTATGATCTCATTTCGCTTTGTGTTTGGTGGTATTCCAGCGTGAGATTGGTTTGGAGTATTTTGATGCCGAACTAATAACACGGAGTCCGCGGCCGGATTGTGTTTTCCGCTAAGCGCTGGGTGCGCCGAGCAACGCACGACTGCACAATGCGGCACGAGTCCTGCTGCAGCGCCACCTCAGCGACAGTCACTGGCTGACCCAGGTCCTTAGTGCGCTCTTGTCCTCTGGGCAGTTCGGTCCGCACAATTGACTGTTGTGATCACCCAAACCCTCTTTTCAAAGCTTTCTTGCTCTTTTTGCGACCCGCCTTCAAGCGATGCGGCGCCTAATTGAGGATATGTTCCTGCACTTTTCGGAAATTGATATCAGCTCAGTCGTAACGCGATTTTATGTTTCAAGCGGAAAATGCCAAGATGCACTTCACTTCACTTTAACATGAGTTTGCCTCCGTGACCCAATGCTCAGTAGGTACTCACTTATGTACACACACCTTTCAAACTCCGTTTTGGTATCTGTTATTTTTATGCTATATCTTAACAAAGGCGCGGGAGCCGGGGGGGGGGGGGCAGTGGGGGCAGCTTGCCCTCTGTCCCAACTCTGGGGCCGTGGGGACGGTGCCCCACAACTTTGACACGGAATACCGCATTTTTTTGCAAATGTTTTCTTTTTTATTGAAAAAGCCGAGGGATAAAAAATAAGTGACCTAAAACCGGTGAGAAAACTAGATTTGGGGATACCCTTGGTTGATCTCTATTATGGTGCGCCTCCCAGTCTGAAAGTAGTTCTCGCGCCCCTGTATCTTAACGTGACTTAAATAACATGTTTGTGCGTTCAAAAGAAGCACAGCGTTATGAATGAGCTGCAGCAAAGAAAGCTGATTCTAAACGGATGAGCTTTAGTTAACCCGTCAGTCGAAGTTCTAAAATAAATGAGGAAACCCTGTAACATGAGTTTGCCTCAGTGACCAAATGCTCAGCACTCACTTATTTCCATCTCTGAAAAAATCTGTAACGCGATTTAACCCGCGCACCGACGGAGGTCTGCGCCAACTTCGCACCGACGGGGGGGGGGGGGGCGGATAACCGCTCCCCCCTGAGATCTCGAGAACGAAGCAAGATAGTGACAAGTGGTAAACGGCATCGGATACGCACGGCCAAGATCTACAAGTTTTACTAAGGTCATTTTCAGGTCAGGTCAAAGATGACGTCACAGGGGTCGAAAAAGTCAAAATGGCGGCGCTAGATATGGAGAGTTTTTCTCGAATAACTTTCGAATTAGTCAAGATAGGAACGAACTAAGGGCATCATCGTGATCCTCTCGTCAATCCGCATCGAATGATATATATGTTGACCTCGAAAGGTCAAGGTCAAAGGTTGACCTCAGGTCACGTGACCTCGAGGTCATCATGTATATCATTCGATGCGTCTTGACGAGCTGAACACAATGAGACCATCCACGCGTCTGTATCTTGTTCCTGTACGGAGTTATTGGCCAAAAACCTTTGGTGACCTTTGATGACGTCACATGACCTCACAGCTGCCCAACAGCAAAACAGACCTTAAGGTAGTAAAGGTTGATGGTATATGAAGTCATGTATGGTATATGGGGCCATTCCGACCCGTTTTAGTGGTAAAAACAGGGAGTTGATTTTTCCCCCATTGACTTATAATGGGGAGGTCGCGAAATTGACCTGACCTTAGGTCACCGATATCAAAATTCCGAGATATACAAATTGTAGCTACTAATGACCTCATAATATCCTGCGACTTTCAAAGGCCTCCGACATCTACTGTAGCTCTGGCACGGTGACAAAGTTGCAAAAAAGTGACTTGAGGTTGGGTCATTCAAAGTGACCTGGTGACCTGACCTTAAAAGGTAGGAAGTTCAAACTTGCACACCATGTGTAAAATTGATGAGGTTATAGTCATACCAAATTTCGCGGCGCTACGCGCCGCGGTTTTCCCGCTATTCGCGAAAAACCTCAGGGGGGGGGGGGCGGATATCCGCCCCCCCGTCGGTGCGCGGGTTAATGTTTCAAGCGCAAAATGCCAAGATGCACTTCACTTTAAGGACAGGCTCTACATTGTATTGCGCGCGGTAAACTGTGAGTGCACGCTGCCCTGACTGCAGCGGCAGCTGGGGAGGGGCCGTGATGGACCGGCCTGTTGTGAGCTCCCTCCGCGCGACTCGGGCCGGCCGCGTCCATGTCACGCCGCGATCAGCCGGTCCGGCCGTGATAGCTGTCACAGACGGCCGCCAGACGCGGCCCGACGGCGGCCCACGGTACATAGAATACTAGGTAACACCGGTTTGTCCGCTCAACACGGGGCCAATGGTCACCACTTTCTTCAGCTGACGTCTGTGACCTTGAGCTGACCTAGGATGATAAACAGCTGACAATTTAGGCCATTTGGAGCTCACTTGACAGCTGAAGAGCGTGATTTAAAATATAAATATTTGTCAGGCACTGACAAAAGATATTATTCACCAGTCATTCTTTAAGCACATTCTGTCATAAATTAGCTGACTCCCTATGGTCTTCCACACAGCAGAAAATGCAAGTGCAAATTCTGCCGTCTTGAAGTGAGCCAAACGCTTATGATACACATGATCGTTTCTCTCAGAGCACAACGGAAACTGCGAGAAAGCAAGAGAGAGTCGGACTCTACAAATGAATGAATTTGGAAGAAAAATAGCTGTATTTTTTCCTGTGTAAATGTTGGCTTTGAAAACATTGGCCATCGACTTTAAAATTGCCCCCAAATATGAAAATGTGTGAATTGACAAAACAGGCAATCTTGCTGTTTTTGCCCAAGTTTGTTCATGATTGAGAGAGATTCGATGCGAAAATGCACTGATATATACTTTTGAAAGCGAGGTCTCTATCAGTGCATTAATTTTGATTTTTAACTTAACGCTAGTCCCACTTTTCCCTCCAAGAAAATATATTTGTCAATTTTTCAATAATCATATTATGCGTCATTGCTTTAAAAATAAAGAGAGTCGGACCGTAATTCTTTCAAAATGACTGATCGTGCTCAATATCTATCGGAATATATCAACAGCTTGGCCAGACTCATTGGCTAAATATGTTTAAATTGCATTTTTCTTTTTTTTCTGCAGATTTTCCTGCAAAATTTTACTGTAGTTTAAGCTGCGTTTCCTGCAGATTGTGTTCACAGACCAATGGGAGACAAGTATTTCTTCATCAACAGGTTTATTCGCCATCAATTGGTCTAGCGGGTGTTTTTCGTATGCGCAGCTTATGTCACAGCTGCGTAAGAACACGTTCGCTTTAAATCATTATGGATCATTATAGAGTTCAGTGTTATGGATATTTCTTTTCGGAATATCAAAGGTCAATGTTGATGAGTTTCATAAGATTTGTGGTGGCGGGATTATCGTCATTAACTAATTACTTGATATATTTTAATGAGGAGTGGTGTAATGCCTGCACGACTGTTGACTTTCATTGTAATTGCTTGAGCTGGTTCCTGGGCCGCCTCAGATAGCAGGATGGTGTGTCAAGTAGGTATCATGGCCTGACAGGAAGGTGGGTACCCAGACCCCTAGCTCAATATTAATCTCAGGTGAAGCCCATATATATGTCTTGGAGCTTGTTAAATTTTTAACCTCACCTTCATATAACCTAACATAACCTGAAATAACCAGACATGCTAGAACCCTTATTTTGGTCAAATGCTGATGAGCAGAAAAATATTAACTTTTTGATGATTTGCCATGCCTACCTATTGCTATGTCTTGACGAGGGTTTCTCGGTTACTGTGTAGATAAACTATGGTGAAGATAAAAAACATCATCTACCCTAACCTAACCTTTGCGTACTAAACTACCACTTTTAGTAAATGTTCAGAAAGAGTGATTCACTTTTCAGGCATACATTTTGTACATTCTTGCACTATTTGACATCCTGAATCCAGATATGATATTTACATGTGATACAAATACAAAACAAAAATCAAACCTTACCTAACCCCATGCCAGACTGGAAACATCCATACACTATGCCGGTTGCCCGTGAGACTATCTTGCGCCGAAATTCGGCGCAAGCGATTTTGCGCCGAAATTTCTGAGTGATTTGCGCCAAAAATTAGGTGCCTATTTGTGCGAAAATTAAGCCCTTTTCATATAAAGCACATGTGCACATATACTGATCAAGGCTATATCAACCAGGCAGAGTGTTTCGGGGCTTTGTGCACTATCCCATGTTTGAGCGTCTGAATTGGTTTCTATTTCCACGTAAACCCAATACCTCGGTGGGAGCCAGCGAGGGCCCGGCAGGCGGCAGCGGAGCAGCACGTGCTCCGGCACATCAGCCTCTTCTCGGCTCACGGTGCAGAGCGCCGCTGGGCACCGCTTGTCTGGGCACTGCTGACACGCGGCGGGGTGGAGACAGCCGATTCGGTGCCGTATTGGAGCGAGCTGCCCCGGTGGCCCGCCCTCATCTGGT